TGTAGAAAGTTAATAGGGAGGAGCCAGCATCTTCTAAATAAAGGAGAAGATTATCAACATAAAGCCGAGTCTTTTCAGTATGAGCTCCTAGTTGCAGGCCTTTAATAATTTGGTTGTCATGGATATGCCACCACAATGGCATATAGCACCGAGAAAAATGGGCAGCCCTGGCATGTACCCGTGAAAAAGTTAAGGGGTCCAGCCATTTCTGAAACATTACCTTGTCGGTCTTGATAAAACAACTGAAGTTGCTCAATGTATCTGGGACCAAAAACATAATGGCAAAGATATTTTCAGAGAAAACACCATTCCACTGAATTGAAAGCCTTAGCGGCATCTAGGTACACAATCACTCTGGCATGGATTTGAGTGTGCAGAGCATGAAGATTCATAAAGACTCTTTGAATGTTAATTATAGTTTTTTTCTGGGTATTGAGCAGGATGGGCCTGAATGAATAAACGAGGAGGTAACCTGATTAAGACAAATAGATAATATTGTATCTTGAATTGTAACATTTACTTGAAGAATTAAATGTTATGATTCGAGAGGAGCAATGTTCACAGAATTTCTTGACCAAACAGTTTTGCACACAAAAATATTAAATCATTGTAAAAAAGGTTAGGTTTTTTATATATTGTTTTTCAGAGTACATATATAAGACACCGGAAAAAATTGGGAAATTTGGAACAGTTTGTTGCCCCTGTAAAATCTAGGATTAGAGCTTTTGTTGCTAAGATCTTGGTACTTTGAGCATCAGCTGTAGCAGACTGCTGGTAGTTAGACAAGATTGGGTCTCAATCATCCCATGATTATAGATATATTTACAGACAATTGTTAGAGATTTGCCATCACTACATTGATGCTAAAAGAGAAGTGTTTCTCATAGTTTTGCAGAATTGTCATATTCTACATGATTGATAAAGTTAGAATATCAGCAAGCATTTAGCTTGTTATTTTACTTAATTTTTTGCTGCACCTCAGCCAACATTTGTTGACTTGGCATAAGGTTTAACACGCACACCTTAAGAATTTTTAAGAGATTTTGCGAAAAGGCCAGATTTAATGAACAGACTGGTTTAATAGCAGTTTGCAAGTCTAAACAGTGTGCATGTAGGACTAATACGTTTGATGCCAAAAGTGAGGATTCCTACTGCTTTTTATGGAAGCTTCAGCTACTGGAGCCAGGTGTAAACATTTATTGGTTTAAAGCTAATTCAGAAATCAGACCATTACCCAAAGCAAATGCAGGTGGGCAGATTGTGAAAAGCAAAAGGTTTTGATTGGAATGCTAAAATGTACATAATTGATGCACTTAGGGTTTTTGTTTTTTTCAGGAAAGGTTTATTTACAAAAGCTCAGATCACTATAGTTTTACATTTTTAATTCTTAATGTATTATACTCGTAGGGTGTCTTAATGGTTTCAGGTCTGTTTTCTCTTAAAACAAATATCCTGATAACATTAACATATGCTCTTTTAAATATATACAAATCCTGTATAAAGATAAAAGTAATAAAAATAATATTACTAATAACCCCCCTTACCATCTTGTCTTGATAACTATAGTGTCTTCCTTATATTGTAAAGTGCTGCACAAATTGTTGGTGCTATAAAATCCTGAATAATAATAATATCTGCTGTATGTGTATACAGTATATGTGTCATACTGCCAGGTCACATAAGAGTCTATTGTTGCCTATGCATCTCTACTGTCAGTATCTTGTAATATTCTGGGCAGTCGTGTTCAGCTTATACTACAGGATATGGCATGGGAAGAATGTGTATTGGCTGCAGTAAGAGATGTTATAGCATTTTAACAGCAATACTTCAGACCGAGCAGCTACTTGTAGCTTAGATCAGCCCAGAAATATCCCAAAGGTGCATGTAATCACTTTTTTGTTTGTATCTCAGCCAGTTTTTCTTCCCTTACATGTCGACATGAATGCAAAGGCAACTCAAAGCATCTCAGTGTTACTCAGAGGCAACTTAAAGCAACTGTAGTAGTAACATAAAGAGAATAAAAACAATTCTAGGGTGCATACTGCATTTTAATCTTTTTAAGTCTGAAGCCTGTATACACTAGCCCTTGTAAATGCCATTGCCAGCTCACAAAGCAGCCATATTGCCAGTTGGGGCCTGTTTTGATTTTATTGCCTGAAGGGTGCATAGGTTTTCTGTTCTGGATTATGCACATTATAATCCAGTTGTGACAAATGTTTTGACGTGCACTTTTATTGATAGAATGATGCTGCCTTATCCCAGTATAAATTGGAGAGCACTGTCACCCTGTAACAAGAGTATGGGGCTGAATTAGCTACTCCCATCAATACTACATTGTGCTTTGAAATCCCCTCTTACGTTTTACAAGCCATGAAACAAAAGTTTCCTTTTTACTTTGCTGCTGTAGTTTTGTTCTTCAGCGTTTTTGAGGGTTTTATCTTCAAAAACACATAAATAAGCACTTGAATAAAAGAGAATCAATGCAGCACATTTACATGTGGGATTTAGGTGTTTGGTACTAGCTGTTAGTCAGAAATTCAAAGCACTGCAAGATATATTTGTTAATTACTCAGACAATCTATGCACAACATATTTTGGGTTGAAGTCCTTTTTGATGAAAGTGTAATTTCCTCTAATTAAAGATTTATTTTATTTAATTGCATAAAGGAGGCCAGTGCACTACTCTCCTTTTCCAAAAATTAAAACACAAAATAATGCCACAAATTCCAGCTTCTGCTAATGAGCAGATTTAAATATAGACAGTGTAATCATCCATGATTAAAGTACATTACACTGGAGAACATTCAAAATTAGAAAACGGCCATAATACCGTAGTTGTTTTGTAGGTGCTTACTTAAACGTAGAGTAAACCTGAAATTAAAACTTAAAAGTACTATACTCTGTAGTAAAGAGTGGGGTATGTTTGTGTTAGGAAGCTGTCATAAATGTGACAGCTTGCCGCTCAGGGCTAATTGGTTGACATCAGTTGCACAGCTAACAGTCCTATCAACCAGTGACAGGGAACTGGATTGACAATGGGCAGAGCCAGATGGGAAGGCTGAGAGATTAGTTCTCCATCATGTCTGCGTTCCTTCCTTGTGATTGACAGCATAAGGCAGTGGGCAGATCCCATAGCTTCTAGACAGCACACTAGCAGCTATGGAATCCGTCCACTGTTGTTCCCTGTCAATTGCAATGTAGCTGGACCTAAGGGGCAACTGGTCTCTCAGAATCCCCATTAGGCAGGGTGCCCAGTAAGGCTGCATCTGTGATTTTATCAGGATTAGCATTATTGAGCTTCACCGAGAACAGAATGCCAGTCTCAGTGCCATCCTAGATGCGACACATTCATGTACCTGTTTCTAACAGGTACATGAATGTATTAGAGATCTATTAGAATCTATTAGAGATGAGGCTGGACTTGGTATGAACCCAGTTCGCAGGGGTTCATCCAAGCCCGCTCAGAACTCTACCCTCCACCAAGCCCTCCACCCCCTCCTCACCACCCAATCAGTTGTGGATAGGCACATTTCTCGCCCTGCAGCTACTGTATATATAACAAAGGGGCTGGGAATGCCTCACAACAAATGCCGACACTGAATGGGTGGGGAGGAGGTTTGAGTGGGCTTGGGTGAACTCAGAATCTATCACAAGTAGGGATGCAACGAAACATATCGACCGAATATGGCACTTTTGGCAAAATGCCGAAAGTGCAATGTTTCTGCTGATATAGGGGCATATCCCTGCTTTCTCTCCTCCCCACTGGGGGCTGCTCGGTGTCCCAGCGGGGAGGAGAGAAACTGTCACAGGTGGCCGAGCGCTGCGGGAGAAGAGCGCTGTGAGCGGCCCACGTCTCTCCTCCCCGCACCGCTCAGCTTCCTGTCACAGATCAGAGGAGAGCAACTGTGTGGGCGGAGACAGCCAGCGCTGTCACAGGAGGCCGGCCGGCGGTGCGGGGGAAGAGTCAGCTGTCAGATCCAGCTCTCCTTCCCTGCTTCGCTCACTCAGCCTCCTGTGACAGCTGTCAGGAAGCAGAGTGAGTACAAACACTCAGCTATCAGTGATCACTGAGTGTTTGTAAATAATTGAGAACATAGTATGATTACTGTGTCCTCAATTATGAATGAATGGGAAGTGATCTACATCACCTCCTGTTCATTCATGGACATGGTAAACATACTATGTTCTCATGTTATAAATGAACAGGAACACTCAGCATAGAGGATTCCTGTTCATTTATAACTGGGGTTGCAGAAAAAAAGATTGTGGACTCTGTGTCCTCAATCTCTTTTTCTATTTTAAAAGAAAAATATGAGACCCCTAATATTTCCCTGAAGCCCCCTAAAAGTGAAGTAAAAAATAAAAATATTTAATAGAAGTAAATAAATAAAAATAAAATATAAAAAAAATATATAAGTTAATTAAAAATAATTTTTTTAAAGTTTTTTAAAAAAGTTAGGAAAAAAAAACTTTCGGTTTTGGCCTGACATTTTTTTCATTTCGGTTTCGTTTGGTTTTAAAATTCTCATTTCGGTGCACCTCTAATGTCATGTGGAGGCATAACAAAGTTCTAAAGAGTGTCTACAACACTCGTTATGAACTCCAGGCATTCTCTGCACAATTCATAAAAAATATTTTGTGCCATATTACCTGACCGCTAGATTCACCCTCTCTGTTTGTTCTGGTCACTCTTGTGTGCGGATTTGGGCAGTTGTAGTTGTATACTATGGAGTCCTTTGGGTAGAAAGGATCAGAGTGCATATTCTCCTGTTTAGTTTATCAAACACCTGTCAGCTTTAAGCAGATAATGCTGCCAGCAGAAATAATTTTGTGTTTGATTTGGCAGAGGTAATGTTTTTTCCTATTTGTGAGGAATCAATGCCTATTATGCCTCCCTGGGATTGTACTAAAACATTGTCTTAAGTGGCAGATAAGTCAGCGGTTTGCAGGTAATGTCATTATAGCTGTAAGTTCATAGTTCTTTTGTCTTTATTTTCCAGTGCACTGAAACCTCCTTCTTTTTTGAAACTCGGAACAAAGTGGCCTGTAAACATCTGTGGAAATGTTGTGTAGAACACCACACCTTTTTCAGGTAAGTTGTCATCAGGCCTAAAAGTATATGTGATTGTTAAAGCAGAATTGTATTTAGACCTTTCCTCCAGACTTTTAGCTAAATTGACAGATTAACAGAATTGATATTAATTTTGTTTTTGGTGTGGGACTTTTGGTAAAGGTTCAAACAAAGTGTTCTCCAAAATGCATTGACCCGCTAACCTTAACCTAATCCATTCTTTTAATCCCTCCCTCACCCCATAAACCAGACTCAGTGGTAATCAGAAGTAAATGGACATGTCTGTTTACCTCTGGCTGCCCATTGAGTTAAGGTGCTCATACACCTGCTGATTATCGTACGATAATCGTGGGAAATCCCGCGATCGTACAATAATCGGCAGGTGTATGGAAGGCGTGCGACCGTTTCTACTGTACGGTCGCCCATCTGTTGTCTCCCGATCAGACTTGAAAACCCACCGAGAATCGTACGATTGTCGGTGGGTTAGTGGCGTTCTCGGGAGACAAATGCCGCACGGGCTGGTGTGCGCAAGCGCACACTGCCCGTGCGTTATTGCAGTCATCGGAAGCCCGCCCCTTAGCAGGGCGGGCTTGCGATGATCGCAAGTACGATCTGCCTGTCCAAGATGGGCAGATCGTACGTTTTTTTAATTACCTTACAACCATCACAAGACGAAAGTCTTGCGTTGGTTGTAAGGTGTATGACCAGCTTTATATTGGGCTTTTAAAAAGATCCACCTGAAAAAATAACAGATGGATCTGATCGGACTGCCTGACTGCCTGTTTGAAGGGAGCCCTAGGCCTAAATTTAACCTTAACACAATTCTTTGGAGGGGCATACCTAGCCTCACACAAATGTTGACATTAGAAAAGTCAGTGTTTGCATAGAGATTGGGGGGGGGGGGGGGGGTTAAAG